TTTAGTAAAAATAAATATCCTTCTAACTATATTATCACCTTATGAGATAGAATACTGCTCAGTAAAAGATTCATGACCACATTAAAGATAATTTTGAGAAAGATTTTCTGGAGCAGCAAAGCCGCTGTATAATATTTATTCATTCTTCCATTCACTATTTGTTGAGAGCACCCCATGGGCCAGGCACCGTTCTTAGCACTTCAGACATGTCCTTGCTCTGACAGAACTTACATTCTAGTAGTAGTATACACACAATAAACAAGTAAAGACATAAATAAGATCATTTCACAAGGCAGTATTTTGAAGAAAATAAAACAAGACACAATCTCAGTGCAGATTCGGGGGTTGGGGAGGAACTCTATCTGCATAATCAAGAAAAGGCTGAGGCTGTGCCTTCAAGTTAAGCCACAAATGACAAGAACGAACCAGCCATGAAACAATCCAGATCAGAATGATTCAAGCAAAAAGTAAGAAAGTACAAAGACTCTGAAGAAGGAATGGGTTTGGCATTCAGAGACTGAGCTCAGCATGAGTGGAACAGAAGTGGACAGTACCTCCTCATCAGGCCACAGAAAGAAGTTCGAATTCCATTATAAAGGACAAGCAGTGGAAGACCATTTTGTGTTCTGAGTGTTTTAAGCAGGGAGACATCAGATGTGATTTACATTTTTATAAAACCACTTTGGGTACATATGCAGAATACATTTTAGGGAGGTGAAGGGAGAAGCAGAAAAACCAGTTAAGAGGCTACTACAGTTGTCTACACTGAGGATGATGGTGGTTTGGGATGTAGTAGTGGCAATAGAGAAAATGTCCAGATTTGGAATAGAATTTGAAAGAAAATTCTAAAAGATTTTCAGATCAATTGGATCTCAGAGGTTGGGGAAAGAAGAATATTTTTAAAAACTAACATTCACAGAGTGCATGCTTTGTTCTAGAAATTGTTTTACATCGTTTACATGTAGTCATTTATTTAATCTTTACAATTTTACAAGATCTGGAGAAATTATAAGAAACTAAGGTACAAAGAGGTTAGGTAACTGCCCACAGACTCAGAGCAGAGATAAAACCCAAGATATCAAATCAATACAGTATAGCCTCTCTAAAGCAGCAGAGTTGTGAAGAAGATTTAATGACACTGACTTGGGCACAGGATAAATGGCAGTGCCTGTAGAAGAATGGGGGTAAAAATGCATTTGGAGGACAAGAGGATTTCTTTTCAACCATGTTATGTTTGAAGTATCTATAAGACATTGAAATGGAGATATCAAAGAGATAGTTGAATAAACAGGTTTCCAATCTGCTCCAGGCTTAGAGTAAATGGGATCAACTATGTGACAATTTATAGTATTAATGCTATACAAAGGAAAATATTACTAGGGAGAGAATGCACACACACACGCAAAAACAATTAGCAGTCTAGGACCAAGTTCTGAGGAACTCCTTAGAAGCTGGGAGGGAGATGATCTAGCAAAGGTAAATCTAGGAAGCAGTCAAGGAAAAAGGAAGAAAATCAGAATTATCACAGAAGCCAAAAAGGATGGAGTGGCCTACTCTACCAAATGTTGCTGAGAAGTCAAGAAATATGGGACCAGAAAGTGACCAATGGATCTGGCAAAGTGATAGTAAACTCAACAAAACTCAAATAGTTACTATGAAATGGTGAGGACAGAAGCAAGCTAGATAGAAGTGAATACAGGGGTGGGGGTGGGGGGGGGGTGATGATGAGAAAGTAGCGACAGCTCCTATGAACAATTCTTTGTGAAATTTTACAAAGAAGGGAAACATATATGAGACAGTAGCTGGAGGAGGACAGGGTAACAGGTTCTTTTTTTTCCTAGGATGAGATCTACTAACTAGAAATTTTTGTATGTTTATGGCAATAATCCAAATGATCTCTAATTCTTTTTCCAACTCTAATTGATACCGTTATAATAACATGGTTATTATTTAACAGGAAAGGAGCAAAGGAGAAACTAGATAATATAGACATGCCATTTATACAACTATGCCAGAAAGCAACAGTTCTATTCCCTGTAGATTGATGGGGGAAGGGACTAGATGCATGCCCAGTAAGGTCTGGGTGATGTGGGAAGGTACTTACCTGCCGATGGCCAGAATAGGCATAGCCACTGTAAGTGCAGAAAGATTTGATATATGAGCTCCTAAACAAAGGTTCCTCTCTCTTGACTCTTGGCACCCTGGCTCTCTTGGGACTCCTGTTGCAGGGGGAGCACTCCCCTGCATTCACCCACGTGGCTCGTGGCCATGTGGGACCCACACAATGAACTGATGGACAGGATTTAGCCTGATGCTCTGCCAGATTCAACTTCACCATGGAATGGAAACTCTGGACACTGGCCTGCTTCTAGCTCTACTAAAGGTCCAACTGCACCTTTTCCTGGACTGGCTTAAGGAAAATGGGACTTTGCAAAACAAGGAATGAATGAAACTCCACAAAAATAAAGCTTTTTACCACATCTCATTCTCCTGTGTGGACCTCCGGAAATGCTTATTCCGGGGCACTCCAAGAACCATACTCCCACTAGCAACAGGGAAAAGCAATTCTCTGGTAACATCAGCATCTAAGCTAAATGCAACAGCTATGTTAAATTTATTTTCCTTTGGATATTATACATTATGCTAGAAAATACCTTGCCTCTTCAATAAAATCACCGTTAGGAATATTTCTGGGGGATTTCCATACCAAAAATTATTGGTTCTAAAACACAATGATATTTAAAATATACATAATGGGGCTGTGTTGTACTCAAATCACAAAACATAATCAGAATGAAAATCTAGTGTATTCATAAAAAGAAATGCTATGATTGCCATATCACAGACTGCAGGTTTTTTTTTAAGTTATAATTCTTGATACTTAAATACCTGTGACTTTCCATCAGCGACAAGCTGCTACTATCCCTTTAAATGTATGTGTAATAAAAGAGCAGAAAATTTTTAAATATTTTCCATTACTTAATTGATTTCATTCTAGGTAAGTGCTACCTGTAGCATGACAAAATACTCTTAGAAGGGATTGACAGCATATTGACCAACAAAGAAATCATTGTTTACCATATCCACTGAGACACATGGTTACTAGTTAATGTCTCACAGTTAATAATGATCTATTGATCATTCTTATACAAAGCAGGCATCATTAGAGCAAAAACAGTATTTGCTCAAAATACAATAACACCTGCAACTCCCAAATGGTAATACTGTGAAATCTAGGTAAGTAAAAGGCCTACTAGTCCCTTAACTTGAGGAAGTAAGAGAAGGTGGAGAGGGATACGGTTGTTGGGGTTTTCCTATGGCTTAATTCTATTAATTCTCCATATTCTAAGTCAGTTAGTTAAATTTCTATTCATTTTTATCCTCAGTTCTATCACTAATACAAAGAGAATAAAGAAACACTCACAAAAGTTGTAGTTAAAACTAATCACTTCCTAGATACTTATATATTCTCCCACTAGAAGTGCATCACTTCTTTTATAAATTATTTTAAAACAAACTGAACCACAGCAAAGCATGCTGGAAATGGTATACAATCATATACTAATAACATCCCTTCTCTGTTTATGTACCTCAGAATGGCCTCTCTGTCACCATCTCAACCTGCGATTTTTCACTGATGGTTTCCATCACAGTAGCCTGTTCATTTTTTTCATTGTACCTATAATAATTGCTAATTATTTGCTTACTTTTCTGTCTCCTCCCACTGGACTGAAAAGCAGAAAACTATGCATGTTTTAATCACCAAAGTATAACCACTTCCTGCTCAGATACCTGGTATTAAAAAAAGATGCTCCCAAAATACCATTTAATTAATGCGAATAAGTGAATGTTTTTATAGTTTATCAAGATTACCAGGAACAAGGTCTGATAACAGCTGAATCACAGAATATACTTCCAGTAATACAAACTTGTATCTTATTAAAAAAAATAATATCATTTAAAAAAAGTTTTGTTCTTTAGTCTGTTAATATAATTATACTGATTGACTTGAATGGTGAACCAGCTTTACAATACCAGGATAAATTGTTGTGGTTATGATAAATTATCCTTTTATATATTGCTGGATTCTCTTTGCTAATATTTTGTGGAGGATTTTTACATCTATGTTCATGAGGGATATTGGTTTTCCATTCTTGTTATGATTTGTCTGATAATGCTAGCCATAAAATGAGTTGAAAAGTGTCTCCCTCCTACTATGTAGAATTGACATTATTTCTTCATTGAATAATCATCTCAAGAGATGCAGAAAAGTCTTTTGAGAAAATTCAACATTGACACATGATAAAAAAAAAAAACTCTCAGTAAACTAAGGGAACTTTTTTACCCTGATAAAAAGCATCTATTAAAACCCTATAACTAATATCTTTAATGATGAAAGATCAAATGCTTTCCCCCTAACATCTGAAACAAGGTAAGAATGACCTATCTCCATCCTATTCAATGTAGTATTGAAGGTCCCAACCAGTGCGATAAGAAATAAAAGGCATACAGATTAAAAAGGGAGAAATAGCCCTGGCTGGTTTGGCTCAGCAGTTAGAGCGTCAGCCCAAAAAGTTGTGGTTTCGATTCTAGTCAAAGGCACATACCTCAGTTGCTGTTCAGTCCAGCCTTGGTCAGGGTTGTGCAGGAGGTTACCAATCAATGTGTCTCTCTCACATCGATGTGTCCTCTCTCTCTCTCTCCCTCCCTCCCACTCTATCTGAAGATAAATGAAAAAATATCCTTGGGTGAGGATTTAAAAAAATAAATAATAAAAAAGAGAAATAAAACAGTCTATTCACAGATAATAAAATTGTCTATATAGAAAATCCCAAAGCATTTAAAAAGAAAAAAACTACTAGAATAAGTGAATTTAGCAAGGCAGTAGGACACTAAGTCAACATATAAAAACAGCATCTCTAGCTCTGTTGCCGAGATGGTGCTCGACCCGACATCATCTCAGACATGTCAAAAATATGTTTTGATCCCTAAAATTATGAGGAAAAGCCCAAGAGAGATGTTCTGAACAAATTCAAGATTTTACCAAATGTTGCAAGGGACCTGAGATCCTTATGGTAGTAAAATGCCTAAAAGAAAATTCTGCATTGAAAGAACATCCAACAGCTTACTATAATGATCCTGCCTTTTATGAAGAATCCCAAATAGAATATCTGAAGGAAAAAGAATTCAGAAAAACTGGTATTCCTATCAAGAAAAAGTTAGAGAAGCCTCCAACAAGCATGTAGGCAAATATTCAAATGATATTCAGTAACAGTATTCAAGAAAATCACAACTACCTAAAATAATGACAACAAAGAAGTCTGTTTGCTTTATCCTTAACTTTGAAAATATTAATTTTGTCTGAAATAAAGTATTTTAATGAAAAAAAAACACTATTTCTCTATATAGCAATGAATAATTAGAAACTGAAACATTAAAACAGTATAATTTACAATAGTGCCAAAAATCACTAAATACTTCGGTATTAATTTAACAAAATTTGTGCAAGATCTACATGCTGAAACTACAAAATACTGTTGAAACAAATCAAATAAATGATGAGATGTACCACCTTCATGAATTGCAAGGCTCAATATTGTCAAGATGCCAGTTTCCCCCAAAATGTGGATATAGATTTAGGCACCCATTCATCATCAAAATCACAACAGGACTTTTGGTGGAAACTGTGAAGCTGATTATAAAATTTATGTAGAAAGGCAAAGTAACTAAAATAGCCTAAATAATTTTGAAAAATAAGACTTACTATAAAACTACAGTAATCAAAACAGTGTGGTACTGGTGAAAGAACAGACACAAAATCAATGGAACCAAACACCCTCCAGATACAAGGCAAACAAAAAGTGTAGAAATTGTTTTGGGTTAAGTGTAAGAGAAGTATGTTTCTTTCCTATGGCATTAAATCAGAAGTTGCAAATACTGATGTCTTCTGCCTAAAGATTACTTTCACTTTAAAAAGTGGTCCAAGAGTGTTAGGGAAAAAAATGAACAGCAAATTTTAAAGGGGGTAAAACAAAAGGAAATTAGTATCCATAGGAAATGCCACTATAAGAATAATATAAAGATATATGCTGGGTTTTAAGCTTTGTTCTAAATTACTAAAGAGATAAAAGTTAGAGGAATAATAGTAATTTCAAATGTGAATAATTAACCTGAATAATAAGACAGAGGTTTTGCTGACAATATTCAAATATGTCTACTTTCCTCATATAAGGAATTTTCTACAAGCACTGAAAACCAAAAGGCAATTAAGTAAGTGACAAATCGTTATTCCTTGGTGATGAGAAGGAAGATTATGGGAGGAAAGTTTATCATATAATAAAAGTAAACTAAGAAGGCAGTAAAAAGTAAAGTAGCTGTTGAGACTGTAAGGTAAAGTACACATGAGCAAATCAAAAGTTTACACCAGGTAGTACTTATTGTTCTTTAAATCGAGTGGTTGGGTGATGTTCCTCTTCCTTCCCCAAATTTGAACCTCCAAACCGGGACTTTAGAGGTTGTATGTGGCAAAGATTTGTGTGGGAATTATTATACTAAGCTTTCCATGGTATAAGAGGGACTGAACTCCAGTTTTAAGAAACTGGACGAGAAAAGGGGCGTGGCGGGGAAGAGGAGTGACTTTATGGAGCAAGAGATGATTGGAAGATGATTTCACAGTGGAGGTGGTGGATGAAATTACAAGGGCTGGGTGGGCGAGTTTACTAAGCTTGGAGTCGGGGAGTGTAGGCAAATTAGTCACCCCGTAGGTACTGGGGTGGGAAAATTGTGGAATCGGCACGAGCAGGAAGCAAAGCGAAGAGGGGATGAGAAAAAGGGATAGAGGGTGAACATCCCTCACACCCCGAGAGCCAGGAAACGTGAGGACGGGGGAATGGGACACCAGGAGCTGGGACAGCAGGGAGCCAGGTGGGAGCGAGGCGGCCGTAAAATGGGCACACCCTCCAAGGGACCCTCGCGGATTAAGTCCCAGGCTCCCAGGGAGCGTGCAGGTGTAGACGGCCGGCACGACTCCTGGGTGCAGGTGTAGACGGCCAGGACACCTCACTCACCTGGTTGGTGACCTGGAAACGAAACAGAGAACACGATTTAGAGACAAACTGCCCCGAACCGGCGGCCGCAGCCCGGCTCCCTGCGCCCCCGCGTGCGTCCCCAGGCCGAAATCAGAGCCGCGCTCACCTCAGGGTTGGCCTCCAGCGGCAGCCAGCGCTGACGCTCCATGGCAGCTCTGCCCGGCCCCTCTCCAGCTCTGACAGCCGTCGCGGTGGCAGCCGCGGCCGCTTCCGCCCCCACGCGCCGTGACCTGGGACCGTCCGACCACAGCCCTCCGGGAGGGGTGCTGAAGGATGAAGAAGAGATTGACAACACTCTATCCCTTTTCTCGCTCCCTAAAAAGCCACACATCAAGTCTTACGTTTCAAGTTAAGATACAATCGGAATGGGAAATAAGAGCCACCTCCTAGTGCGAAAGGAAAAAGCATCTGAATCTACACCTCGCTCCCCGCCCGCTTGGACTCTTCCTATCAGAGCCAACCTCTCGGTGCCACGCATGCGCCATGCGCCGGTCTGGGACCGCGTGCTAGTGGGCGCCCCACCCATTTCTTCAGAGTCAACCAGAGGCGCTAGGGGGCGTACCCCTGAGTCCTAGTCTGAAAGGTAAGGACAGGGTAGCTGCCCATATGGAAGCCCCAAGGCACGAGGATGCCTGGAAGTTATGCCATAGAACTTCCTTTGTTAAGCTGCAGAAGTGATGCGTTGACCTTGTCTGCTATTGCAGAGCAGGGGACATGTTTGACAAAAAATGTCAAGTACCTATTTTGAATCAAACACTGTACTAAGTGTTTGTTACACAAAGATGAGCTCAAGGTAGTGGATAGGAAGTGGACAAAAGAACGGGTCACAATAGTGATACATATGAGATGTGCTGGAACTCCAAAGAAGTGCAGGTAAAGGGGGACGGGGATGTCTGGAAGGCTTCCTGGATAAGGTGGACAGCTGGAGTGAACCTTTTTTTTTTTTTCTTTATTGATTTTAGAGAGAGCGGAAAGGAGGGACAGAGGTAGAACATCAATTAGCTGCCTCCTGCATGCCCCCCACTGGGGACCGGGCCCACAACCTGGACATGTGCCCTGACCGGGAATTGAACCAGGAATTGAACCAGCGACCTCTTGGTGCATGGGTCAACGCTCAACCACTGAGCCACACCGGCTGGGCTGGAGTGAACCCTTTTAAAAGAGGTGCTCTGAAGAAGGGAAAGTATGCATTGTGGCTGCAGAGCCTGCAAGATTGAAGGACAGTGATTAGAGGTGATGCTGGAGAGATAAGTAGGAACAAGCCAGTTAATACAGATCTGGGCTTCATCTTGAAAACAGGGAGTCACTGAAGGAAATTAAGCAGGATTTTCATATCTCTCTTCTACCAGAATGTAAATTCCATGAGGCCTACAGAAGCATATTTTTTAATTCTTCACATTGTTTCCCCAAGACATAACTCAGTGCCTGATACATAGTAGATACCCAATAAAGAGTTGAGGAGTGAAGGGAATAATCTGGTATGGAGTGAATGGAATAATCTGGTATGCAGAAACAGTGTTTGTCGATAATGTAGAAAACTTGCAAGTGAAATGATGAGAGACTTAATTAAAGCAGTAGTCATAGAGATGGAGAGGCAGTCACAGATAAAAGAGATACTGTTTTAAGGGATAACCCTTTGATGAACAGGAATTGTCAATGGTAAATCCAGAAATTTGACCTGGGATAGAGTCCATATTACAATTCTACACCCAAATAGAGGGCATTCAGGGAAGGGAACAGTTAGCGAGAGAGAGAAAATCATTATTTCATTATGCTGAGTTTGTCTTTCTTGGGGAACTTTCAACTCTCCCACTCATGTCTTTTCTGGTCACTGTTCTTTGACCTCCAAGGAATTTCCTACCCATGACTCCATGACTCCTCCTTTTTCTTATCTATCTGATAGCTTGCTGCTATCCCCACCCAACTGTGATTTGGTAAATCTGAAATATCCAGCACATGATGGGCAGCTATAGTTGCATAATACTTGGGTTGCAATGGCCAGGCTCTCAGTGGCATACCATGAGTATTTGACAAATGACTTACTGTCAGAGGAATGAACTTGCGCCAGAATCCTGAGTTTCTGAATGATGACTCTCCTATTAGGGCTTACCTATGACTCCACACAGCATCCTTATCTACCATGAACATCGCAAGCACCATTGGATCTGCTGAGACATCTAAGGTCAAATAGCAAGGCAGCTTACATTTCAGCTTGGACTTGCTGCAGAGCACTCCCTTCCTCAGGGACCCACTTAAACTGGCAGCTGTCTATGTTAACCAATAAAAGTGTTGCAGCTGTATTCCCATGTGTGGCATATGCTGCCTCCAAAAGCCAAAAAGTCACACCAAGTGCTCTGCCTCTTCCCAATTAATAGGAAATGTAATGTGCAATAACATTTTTATCACCTTAGAGAGGTTGTCCCAGCATACCCAGACTTTTGGACCCATAAAGACTTAATTAGTCTGGCCAGAGTGGCCCCGTTGGTTGAGCATCATCCTGTGCACCAAAAGGTTGCCAGTTCGATTCCTGATCAGGGCAGATATGGAAGGCAACCAATCAATATTTCTCTCTCACATCGATGTCTCTCTCTCTCTCTCTCTCTCTCTCTCTCTCTCTCTCTTCCTTTCTCTAAGCTTGTCCTTGGGTGAGGATGAAAAAATAAATTAAAAAAAAACTTTATTAATATATTAGTAGGCTCCTTATCTTTGTAGGGTTTAACTGTCTCTCTCTGGTATAGATGTACCTACATTCATATCAAGGGCAGTACTTCTCAAACCTGAATGTGCATACAAACATCTGGGGAGTCTAAAATGCAAATTTTGATTAAATAAGTCTGGGATGGGACCCAACATTCTGCATTATGGCCCCAATTTTTTAACCCTCCCTTTATCCACATTCTTTGCCATATAACTTTAAGTTTTTTCCAAGAGTCAAAGTAGTATTCATCCTCACTATTCATGAATCCTCCTTTTTTAATTTGCCTACAGCTAACATTTATTTGTTAACAATTCAATAATCCCCCAAATTAATACTTTGTCATTTTCACAGTTATTCGCAGACATGGGCAGAGGAATGACAGAAATCTTGAGTTCCCTGTTGAAGTCTCATACTGGAAACAAGTGTTCTTTTTGCAGTCTATTTAGTGCCATATTTTTTAAATATTAAAACATTTTTTTTTCTTTATAGTTTAGAGAGAGAAGAAGGGAGAGGGAGATGAAAACATTGATGAGAGAGAACATCAATTGGTCATCTCCTGCATGCCCCCACTGGGGATTGGGCCCACAATCTGGGCATGTGCCCTGACAAGGAATCGAACCAGCAACCTCTTGGTGCATGGGTTGATGCTCAACCACTGAGCCACACCAGCTGGGCTAGTGCCACATTTTTAAATTTTTGTGCTTTTTGTTGGTGATTTCACTGTATATATGCATGGCCTAGGCATTGTGCTGATGTGCTACTGCTGTCTAGTGTTCCTAAGTCCAAGAAGAATGTGATGTGCTTTATAGAGGAAATACAAGTGTTAGATAGGCTCCTTCAGGCATAACTTGTGGTAGTGTTGGTTGTGAATTCAGTGTTAATGAATCAATAACACATATTAAGTGAGGTCTCTTTAAACAGAAACACACATAAAACAACATTGTACATCTGTCTGTCGATGAAAAGGTGACTAGAGGCTCACAGAAACCTAACCTGTATTTCTCCTGGGAGCAATTAGTCTTTACTAATTCAGTGTACATGGTGACTTTATAGACCGTAACTACCACAAACAATGAGACTCAGCTGTATATTTCCCCACTCCTTGACACCGAGTTCTGCCATGTGACTTGTTTTGGTCAATAAAATGGGGCAGAAATAATGGTGTGCCAGTTCAAAGTCTGAGACTGGAACTAGCTTGTGTTCCTGCTTGCTGACTTCCACTTCTACCACAGCCTTGAAGAACGGGCTTGGCTGGCCAGCTGGTCCCAGGAACAGAGTGAGAGACACCTCAGCTGAGCCCAGCCTGGACTGGACAACCCACCATTAACCCCCACACATGTAAGCTAAATAAATGTTTGCTCGTAGTATGACATTGGGGGTTTGTGGACATTTATTTATTTATTTATTTTTATATAGCCAAAGCTAATTGCTATACCTTCAGAAATTTTAATAATCAGATTAAAAGGAGTAGCCAGCTCACTGATAGGCCTGCTCCATCCCCCCCCCCCCAACTCCAATTTAAAAAAAAAAAAGTGTAGCCTGGGTCAGGGTTGAGAGGCTCCATGGGGCCTGTCCAGGTATCCAGGTGGGGCTGGGCCCAGGTCGCCCAGCCCACAAGTGAGGCCCAGGTCACAACATGCTGTGACTGTGCAGGGAACAGTGCCTCAGCCACGGGACTCCTCCATCTGGGCCGCTGCCATGAGAGGAGCCCCAAAATTGTAATAACCAAATACAAACATATGATTTTACCTCAGATTCTCTAAAAATGTGTATGTTGATGCAACTTTAATTTAATGAAGTGTTTAATTATTTTAATTAAATGACATGGTATTGTAGCAACAACAATAATAGACATTCACACTTGATTCGACCTTTACACTTAACAGAAACGTTGACATCCCTCATATATTTGTTTGATCCTCACCATAGTTCACAAAGTGGGCAGGTGAGGAGATACAGCTGTTCCCAAATTACAAACAATGTAAGCGTGGCTTGGAGAGGTTAAGTTGTTTCCCAACATTGCACAAGTGACCTCAGCCTGGATTTCCTGCAGCCATATCCAGGATTCCTTCCAAAAAGAATAAAGAGCAGCATGATGTTCACAAGCCAGGGAACGGAACTCAGAAATCTGGGGGTTACAGAAGCTAAAAAGAAAGAAATAACCTATAAATTATTCTAGGGACAAATCTGCCTCTATTAAGGGTCAAGAGTTGAAACATTTCTTATATCTAAGACAGTAACTTTAAATGCACCTAAAATGAGTAAAAATTTAACAGAGAATTGGGAGTCTTTAATGTAGTCTATTATATATTCTATAAACTTCACAAATGCAATTTTAACAAAGTGAAAAATGTATTGTTGCAGCAGCTGCCTGAATTCCTCTTAGGAAGGAACTGTCTACTCAGAAAAATTTCATCGATGAGCCACTTAGGTTAGAGACTGAGACCTTAGGACACCCTATAATAGATCATTGCTAAACCTCTCTGCATGAGAGGAGAATATAAGGAA